AGTCAAAGAACGTCACTAAAAAAGCAATGAAATTGATCACATATTGTTCTGATTTCGTATGCTGACTAGTTACTATAACACAGAGGTCACAACATATTCTATTCAACAGTCACAGATAGTCACAGTTAACAGAGACATGCTAAAGTGAATGATGCATAGGTAAAGTCATAGGTAGTCACATTGATAGTAAACAGTGATCATGGACGATTTTCTGTCTAAATTTGTATACAAAAGTTAATGGACATTGGTATGTTCAGAAATCGAAAATTACTAATAAAAAATGTGTACCATTTGTTCACAAAAATAAAAATAAAGGTTACAAATTACGAAAAATGCACACATATTTTCAAAAATTAACCTTACTGATCAATGTTATAAGAAGCTTTCATACTTTTTGAAAATGAATACAATAATTTCATAAGCTTTTGTGGACTTCTTTAAATGCGTGCTTTGAATATGGACATAGAATATCTATATTTGGTTGTGGAAGATCCTCTTCGAGCTAACAACGAGATACAACTACTCCAGAAGTTTAAATTTCATTGGTTTTTGTGTTGTATTGTGACTTCATACCTTAACTGTGTCTCAAAATTGAAATTTTATGGAGATTTTTGCTAAAAAATTGGTGAGATAGAGAAATTTGAGAGAGATTGTGAGGTAGACAGAGATCGAGAGTATAGAGTGAGAGTTAATGATTGTTTTTGGAAGAAGAGTGGTGAAAATATCTTATTAACGATATATTTTCTGATTTTTTGGATATGTTTAAAATTATATTTTATCCTAATATAGAGTGTGTGTGTGTGTGTGTATATATATATATTTTTTTTTTTTTAAACATCTTGTAAAATTCAACTATGTAATTTAATGGAAATAATAAACAAAATTTGTATCCCAGAACTAGAAGAGGTCCTGTAATCATATATGACATGATATTTAAAGATAAAAAGGATGCCAAAAGAGAAATTACATTGAGAAAGCAGAGCAAGGAACCGGCCAACGATCCACCAACAGCAAGAAGCGCCAAAAAGCGAAAGTCAAATATCACCTGATCAGATGGATAAAAACACATTTAGTTATCTAGACTACAGTCTTTAAGAAAGTAAAAATGCATAATCATATTTAAAAGTTTAAAATGCATAATCATATTTAAAAGTTTGTTATGATGAATAGGCATCTTAATGTAATAGATATTTTTAACCAGAATATCCAGAATAGCTTTAACGATCACCAAGAGAAGAAGCCAATAGCCCACCAGTTATATATTTAGATGAAGTTAATATTGTATTTTGTTAGTCAAGTCCTCAATGTTCTTCCCTCTACAAAATTGAACTATGAAAGCTTCCCATTAGAAAGTTCCATTTTACTTCCCCAAACTAAAACTTCTTGCAGATAAAATTGAGATACATATGCTGTAAAACCATAAAGACTCGTCCTACCATAACCTAGTACTGTTATAGATCAATGAAACATGAGTTAGACTTCAAGAACGCCCACAAGTTTATAAAATTCATAACACTTGAATTTGAAAAGTAAGAATGTACCAAGCTACTAGGACGTCCATAATGCCAATTTTGCTGATGTAGTAGCAGCAGTGTTTCTCAAGCATTAAAAAGTGCAATATTTAGAGAAAACCAGTGTGTTAGGATGATGCCTAAAACACAAGGGAAAAATCATATGCTATGCTGACAGGTTCAGTCATCCACAAACCTAGGTATCTGACAATCACCAAAGAGGCACAACCAACAATTGTTTGCAGTAAGGGGATTCAATCTTTATTAGTGCATTATGGAAATCCTATCAAGCAGTTATAACAAGTTGCACTTGAATTATACTGTTTATAAATTAACCCCACAAGAATGCTATTTACCTTAATGATTTAATTGGATAACATGTTCATGTAGATATGAACAGATTTTTCCAACTTTCACAGGCATGCCGATTTCCTGATTGTGATATATTAGCTAGTCTTATTATTAAAGCTGATATCAAATTATTGCTTATGCTTCATGTATCTAATCCTTCTTTAGGGCCTTGCAGTTGTCCTAGGTGTTGCTATGAATGAGGTTCAATTCCTACGTGGCGATAGTACTCTGACTGAAAAGACGAGGCCCTCTTGACCATGGGGTACATTCATCTGACGTTCCACGTGAATTAACCACTTATTCTGACTGAATTAAGTATGAACGATGGGAGTCATCTAATTGCTTAAGTTTCACTTAAAATAAGTTCCATATAAGCAAGAGCATCAGGAACATACCCTGAATTTGATAAGGCCAAGGATTTTATTGAAGTCATTGAACGATAATTTGTCAGTTGTTATAAGGTATTGGCTAGCACCTTAATAAAGGAACTTTCAGGCAAAAGGTTTGATAGAAATAAATGAGTACGCAGTACATGAGGTAAATGAGAGACAATGCCACTCAACTGAAGTCCTTGAAAATTAACATTTTACCTTTCTAATTCATTTATATTGAAATCTTTACATGCAGAATATAGCCTTTTCAGGATATCTTACAACATAAACAAGTAGAAATGGTCAATCAATGAATTTATTACCATCTGCTTTCCACAAGAGGAAAGACTCTAGAATGAGAAATTTGATGAGAAATAAGAAAATGCTTATCTTGTTGCTCATGAAAAAGGATCAAAAATAAAGATAAAGATGGTAAAAACATGAAGAAACCGACTGCAAAATAAATACTTGCAAGTAACCGTGTTTGACATATCTCTCCTCGATTCTATCTTTTCGAGGAAAATTAGAAAACCATTCCTACCAAGTCCAATATTCCCAAGGAACTTATCATTTCTAGCCTCAAGTACGAAATGGACTACAAAAGTCTCTTGTTTGTATTGACTAGATAAAGAATCCTACTTCCTAGATGGATGAGCTACTTCACTAATTTCTCCAATCAAGAAACATATATCGGATTAAGAACATGTCTAACATAGAACACATCTGATTGAAGTTCCAAAAAACGTATATTTTCACACAAACCTCCAACATCAAATATATTTATCTCAAAGATTGAAAATATCAAGGATAAAGCGACAATCAACCATATAAACTAAGCTTAGGTACCCTTTCAATGGAAGACTCAGTGGACTGAACAAACCGCACAACAGGGTTCCCATTCGGATTCGCCAACGCACAGTTGTAGGCCTTATCCGGGGGCTTAGAGGACTCAACAAACGGTGCCTTTATTGATGGCTTAGCTGATTTAAGGTCTTCATTTTGTGTGGCTGATGATGATTCGTGCGAAGAAGACGAAGAAGAGGGTCTTAGAGAAGCAAGTGAAGGTGACAATCTAGTTCTTGGAGAGTGTGAAGTGGATATGCAGAGGCAGAGGGAGAGTGGGTTGGCTGAGAGTGAAGAGGAAACCATGGCCGCCATTGAAGATTTTTTCAAGGTAGTTTCGTCAGACGAACACTTTTGGAAAAATCTTAAGCGGTAACTCGATACTGATAACGATTTTTTGTGGACCGTATGTTCTCAAGATGTCTCAACTGTACTCTTCCAGTAATTACCCTGGCTTTTGAGAGTTAATGGAATGATTGATAAAGTTTAAATTATAATTTATGTTGGTTAAAAATATTTTTTATATTTATTTATATAAAGTTATTAAAAGAATAAAATTTTTATTGTCGATCATGACGTATATATGAAAAATATTTTTCTTGTTTATATTCTTTTTCTATGAAATTTCAAGTGATTTATTTTGAAGAACATTATTTATTTTAGTTTATCAACTTCTATTATTCATTTATTATCCATATATTCTACATATTTGATAAAGTTAAAATTACAATTGAACATAATTCCTCGACCCGTCAAATTTGGGTTCAACTGTTCAAGGCAAGATTTCTTGTAGATGGTGCTTCAACCTGTATATATAGAGCTTGTTTGTGATAGATTTTTTAGGGAAGAACTGATTTTAAATAGTAATATGATGGGAAATGTCTGGTTGAAAAAGAAGAAAAAATTATTGATGTGATGGAAAATATTATTTTATTGAAAAATGTGTGGTTGAAAATGAGAATTGATTTGCTGTAGAAAAATTTGATCCCTCCCAAACAGACCCATAATATTAGAATAATGCAGTGAGTATAGGGAAAAACAACAGAATTGAAATAGAATTTTGAATTTCATGGGAATGTGAATGGGCCCCATGTAATTAAAATATTAGCAAAACCCCCCGTCCCACCCACTGTTTCGTGTATTCTGTTTGGTACAGGAATTTGAATTTTTGTACTTATAATACAGTTGATAATATTAACGAGGTAGAAGGTGTCTAGTCTCGCTCCGAACCTGAACCCACTTTTTCCCAACTTAGATGAGACGGGGACAAAAATCTTAGACGAAATCCATCCCAAAATTGATAAGTGACCAGATTGGAACTTTTGAGAAATTTTAGTGACTAATTTGAAATAAAATAAACTTTGAAGATCAACTTGAAACTTTGAACTAAAATGGCATGTAACCCGTCAAGATAAGAATAGCCAGAAAATCAAAAACCCTACTCGCTAGAACCCAATTTAATTCGCCATGGGAATTTTATCCTGGTTCAGTAGAGGCAGCAATAACAACAAAAAGGAAAATTCTCCGGTGGAAAAATCCGACACGAAACCCCAATCCGTGTCCTCCGAGGTACCAGGAATGAACGGAGCGATGGAGGTCAGACGACCCGCTCTGGCGGCCGACCTATCGGTTTTCGAATTCGGGTCAGTCGCCGCTTCTGCCGACAAGGTCACAGTGACCGGGTACTGTCCCGTTTCGGACGAGCTAGAGCCCTGCCGTTGGGAGATCCTGCCAGCTATGGGCTCGGACGCACCCCAATTCCGCGTGGTTTTCTGAGTTTGTTGATTTGAGAGAAAAGTATGAGAGAGATTGTTGTCTAGCATAACTGTATTCTGATCCTCCGTAAAATTTGGCGAATTTGTTGGTTCGAAATTAATGTTAAACGTTATTGGAGACTCTGCATTAATAATTGCTTCTTCATTTTTATTTTTTTTGTTTATGCTTAATTGTTCAAGGCATGATATATAGTAGTATCTCTGTGTACTACTGCTTGTGAAAACAAGCACGAAAATGGAAGAATGTGACCATTGTGAGCATGTGCAACAAAATTGAAATGTATAGAACCAGGTTGCTGTAGGTTGAAAGTTCGTTTCTATTTGCTATGTTTCAAATAGATGGGGGGTCCCAACTCTAATTTTTCCTTTACATTTATTTTACTCATTCTTCTTATTGAAGCATTATATGAATCTGCTGGACGTTGTTCATGTATATACTTCTGCCTTAAAATTGCACATGAGTTTTTGAAAGTGCTCTATCTCTTATATAGTTATTTCGTGGGAACTGATTTGTTTGCACTTTATTAATTATCTCCAAACAAAACTAATCTTCATTACTTACAAGGATCCTATTGATGCTTGTGCATAATTGAACTGCAAATGCTAGGTACATATCCATAGTTCTGTACTTGAGCAGGATCCTATTATTTGTTGGACTTGTGTGTGTGTGTTTGCATGCCTATATAAATCAGATGTGTTATTCTGGTGTACAGATCAATAGAATAATTTTGAATAGGAGTGATTGCTGTTGCCTCAAGTTATCGGCTTTATATGCCGGAAATATGGGTGTTGAAGAGTCTGAATACAGTCATTGTCACGAGCGCTACATGTTAATTTCGGGCTTTGATCATTAAGAGCATATTTGTTGAACAATTCTGGACAGGTTTAGATAGTATAACAGACAATAGTTGTAACTTTCTAATCCTTATTAACACTATCTATTACTGTAAATCTGCTTTGCCAACCATTCCGTAGGTGTATATATAGCTTTTTAAATTTGGGATGAGATGGAGTATGATATGAAACGTATTTTGATTAGGGTGCTTGTTGAACTGTATTCTCCAAAGAAGCATCAATGTGAATGATAAACTCCATTTTTCATGGGGGCAATTCTATGAGTAGTAAAAAGCTTGAAAATAGAAGATGATGTTGGGATAAAAGCTTGTAATTTTGGTGATGGTTTACTTTATGGAGACAATTGTGGTAATGCATACTTGAAGAGAACACGCAATTATGCTGATGTTGACAAAAGGTGAACCATCTTCTTTGTGATTATTAATTTACTTTTCAGTAAGTAAATCTTGCAAATGTCCTAGTTTACAAATGCATCTATCATGTTAACAGTCTGGTGGTGGCAGTAACATGCTCTAATATAGAAAACAGGATTCTGTATTTAGTTATGTCACTTTCCTGCTAAGTTTTTAGCCATTGGATTTTGGCCATAGTGAGTTTAATGATTAAATATCCCTGTTATCAGTAGTTATTTAACAATCACACTGATCTGTCAGTATTTGTTATCATTTTCCATAATTGATGGCGCTATTACATTGTCTTCAAAGTTATTCCTTTCATTTTGTAAGAATCTGAAGCAGAAAGGTTTGGAAGCATTGAAAATTGAAGCCAATTTGATGTCAGCAATGCTATCTTTGCAGAAATCTCTGGGAATTTATTCTAGGATGATTATGTTATGTCTCCCTTTCGCTGATGAAAACTGAGGTAGTTTCTTGGGATGGTCCTTGTGTGTTGGTGCATGGAGCAAGTGGTTTGCCTGCAGAAGGTAAGATCTGGGATGAGTTATCTAACTAGTTATGATTGGGGGTTTTTATCTGTATTCAGTAGGAAGATACAGAGTGGAGGGACAGCAATTTTTTTACAGCCGTTCTGTTGTCATTGGTTTTAATCTACAGTCAGTATTTACAGTGTTAAATAATCACATTCAGCCGTTCTGTTGTGAAGATATTTCACTCGTTACAAAAATCACGTGTTGTCATAGGTTTTTTATTTTTCAATATTTGTACTTTTTACTAATATGATGTAGCAGCAAACGTCATATTAGAACAATACACCATGGTCCTTGTGTGAAACTCGTGTATGTATTATTAAAAAATAAAGGAAAAGCAATTACTAATATGAATTGAATTGCGGAAATGCAAAATAGATAAGGATACAACATAGAATTGGAATATGACACAACATCAAATCCATAAACAAGAAATGTGATTACTTGGTATAAGAGTTGAGAGGATGACAATGAACTGTGATAACGTTAAGAATTTCGCCATTTTAGAAACATGGTTTTATCCGAATTCAAGGTGATTTGTGACTTTGGAATTTCGTTTTATAGTCATACTCTATAGAATTAGAGGTGTCAAGACAGACGAGCCAACCAGACCCGTGAAAATCGGCCAGAATCGACATGAGACCGCGAGCCGACCCGTGAGCCGACCCGTGACCCGATCGGGCGGTTCACGAGTTAAGGAGGTGTGACCTGCGGGCTCCGCGAGTTGCACCTTCACGGGTCGCANCCACTTAGTTGAGATGTACTTATGCTATATATATTTGATAATAATAATTAGAAATGCATTTAATTGTTATTTGTTTAAATTTAATTTAATTTTGCAAAGTTAGAAATAATTCACGTAATATTAAATTTGAATTGTATGTAAGTATTTTTTGGTATAAATATAAATTTATCGTTTTTTTCAATTCTTAGTTTACAGTTAACAAAAAAAGATTTTTTTTGCTATAAATATGAAAAATTCTATATTTTTATAATTTTATTTATACAATAATACGGGCCAAATCAGAACAAATCTCGACCTGCGCGACGCGTGACCTGCACGGACTGGACCCAAATGGGTCAGCGGGATGGGTTTGGGTTGTAGTCCAAAATTTGTGGGCCGACCCGGTACAGGCCCGGAACCTGTAGCGGGTAGGCTTTTCTTTATGCGGGCCATTACCGGGCTCATATATTGACAGGCCGACCCAATTCGGACCACCCGATTGACGCCTCTATATAGAAGATTGCAAAAATAATTTAATCTAAATTACGGTAATAATATTAATGAGATTAAAATAATAATCTAGTCTAATAATGTAATAGTGTAGTAATCTTAATTGAGATTTAGTGACATCCTCAATTCAGAATTTTAAGGATTTTTTTAAGATTTATATATTCTTATAGGTTTTGTGTATTTGAAAAGAATTTCACAAATTCTAAAAGATTTTAACAAAAAAGTAATGATATTTATTTTAACTGGGGTCGTTCGTTCTCATATAATGTAACATTAAATGATAAGACTAATAAAGTAGATCTTACATCCACACATTCGTTTGATATTATTATTTCACTACATATTACATGTCACATCATAGGAGGATAATCAATAATTATTTTTAAAGGTTAAATGCGAAAACGGTATGTGAACTTTATTCCATGTACCAAAATGATACATAAACACAATTTTGTATCAAATTCGTGAATGAATTCACAAATTTGTAATCTTTCCATAAATAAATTAATTCACGTCATTCAAAATTCATGAAATAATCCTCGTAGCAAACAAAGTGTTTACATGGCAATGACGTGGCGACAAACGACAAATTAATTATACGAATGGTATATGAACTATACCGTCTATCAAAATTATACATGAAGTTTACCCCGTGTATTGAAATCATACAGGAACTCAGCTTTGTATCGAAATCATATATTGACTCACAAATTTATGTTGCATCCATTAAATTACCTAACCACACAATTTAAGTTACATTTTTAAGGGATTTAAATTGCATATGATATTAAAAGAGCATAACACGCTTCGAAAAAATTGAAAGAATGTTTTCTTCTATTCGATTTAACGACACATCAATTTGTTTCCCAATTGCAAGCATAAGACGGTGCAATAACAGAGCTCTAGAAACTGCTAAACATCGACCTTCTTAGAGCGGATGCCATGATGCATTCATTCCCTCATTAACATCTTCTATATATTAAAAGTGGTTATGTAACGGAATTTCTTGTTTTTAACGGAAAAACTAATGGAATTTGTTGCTTTAACGGATTATGTTACGGAATTTCTTGTTTTAAATAGGCAGCTGTACATTCTTTCAGTATTTTTATCGTAACTTTGTATTCCGATATCCGATTGAGGCGATTCAAAATGCGTTGAAAAGATAACTCATCTGGCTACAACTTTGATTCAGACATCATTCTCCAATTCGATCACTTTCTATGCCAAAAATAGGTCTCAATATGAGACTAAAACATTGGAGCATAAATTTTCGGTTGGAAATTGATTTGTGATCAT